GGCAGCCGAGTTTGAGAACTGGGGTTCCTGAGGATGCAGTTCTTCAGCTTTGCTCACAGCTGAGTCCTTTATGGGACATCTGGTGGGTTTTCTGGAATGGAGATTTTAACTTTTACTTGAACAATATAATGATAACATGTGACCGAGATTGTACTGAAATCGGATACCTGCTCTCCCCCTCTGTAGTTTCCAGTGGTGTAACTTTTAATAAGAGTCTGGGGCTGTGTGATTTATTTTTCCCCAGTGCTCATGATTGCTGAAAGAGGATAAGAGCTCCGCTGAAGTTAACCCATACTTGTCATCACAGGGAAGTAAAAGGAAGAAAAGCACTTAGACTCGAGTCTATCTGCCACATTTCAGTTTGTTTATTCTCCATTTCAACTTATTAAATATGTCTGCTTGAAACGTAGGCCTGTGTGAACGCTACACAAAGCACCTGGTCTTCCCTGCCTTCTCCTGTGTGTGCCGAAGGAGCTCAGCGTGCGCTCAACTCCCCTTCCAAAAATAAGTACATTTTGGATCTAGCATCAAGCCACGACTATTTATTGCTTCAGCTTTGATCATCAAAAAGGCTTTTCCTACGAAAACCACAAAATTCAATTTTGGGTAACAAAGAGAACCATTCTTCTCCTGTTGCTCGTTTACTCGATGAACTTCTAAACAGGAAGCTTTCGCGTGAAGTCAGAGGAGCGTCTTTGTGGCATGTATACATTTTGTTTAAAAAAAAAAGTGAGCCCTGTTTTTGAAGCAGAGCTTTTCATGGCTGTAATACTGCTCTTGAAAGTAGGAAGGAGTCTTGAATGAACTAGCAGGCTTGTTGTAAAGTTCGGAGCAGCAGTCTGTGCTAACTGGAAGCACACGTCGTGAATAGCTCCCGTGTCGTGAGCTGGGGCTGGATGGATGATGCCCCAGAGTCCTCTTCATCTGAGGTTCAAAGCGTTTGGGTCGTGAAATGGAGCTGTCTGTCCCAGGAGCAGTGTCCAGCCACGGCATTTCTGTCGGGCTGGGGATGCTCCTGGTTTCTCAGTGAGCTGCTGCGGCTTGGGAAGATCTGGCTTGGTGGGAAAAGGCGCTTGGAGGTGTTCGGTCCCGAACTTTCCGTCTTCTGAGCTCAAGCGTTGTCACGTTCAGGCTTACAGGAGTACGAAAAGGGGCTCCATCTTTTCCTCGTTAGGTGTATTTCTGCAGCCGTGTCCGCCTGGGGAGCAGAGATGAAGAAAGCCGGCTGTTGGGGGGTTGTGTTTGGAGCCCAGAGGGTTCCCCTGGCCTGTGTTGTTCCTGTCCTCCGGCGGAGCCTTGGCCGGTGTCGGCATCCCCAGGCTCTCCCTGCCAGAGCTGGGGAAATACCAGGGAAAGGGCAACGTCCAGCGAGGCAGAAACAAAAGCTCAGCCCCGTGACTCAGAATTGGTGGAACATTGGTAGTAATTTTTTTCCCCCCTTCCCCTCCGACTTGGCTCCTCTGCCGCGTGCCAAGAAGCA